TTTCTTTGACCTTAGATATTGAGTTTAAGAGTTTTCTGTCTTCAGATTCCCAGATTTGAGCATTTTGTTTGAATCACAAGATGGATCAGTGAGTCAGCAGCCCTGCCACGTTCTGACCACTGGTCTGCTTCCTGGTGTATTGCCTCACTGCCAAAGCTGTGTCACTACTTCAAAACAGTGTGGGTTAGGAAGCTTCTGTGGGAAATGAAGAGCTGTGTGCGTGTGTGTGTGTGTGTGTGTGTGTGTGTGTGTAGCAGCAAACTTAAAGGTATTACTGTTTGAAGTGTGCTGCAGAAATGACTGACAGTTCACTGATGATCTTTGGAGCTCCCGGTAGTGCAATACCACCTTAGCAAAAACTGGCTTGCTGCCAGCCCATTGGATGATTTCCAACTAGCCTTTGGATGAAAATATCCACCAGTAGTTTAACTTTTTTGTTAACTTGTGTGCCACTGCAACATTGTAAATACGACTTTAACTTGTTGGACACATTAAGTAGCCTTTTAAAATTAGTTTATTGATTTAAGGACAAGAAAATCTTATAAATGGCTTGTATCTAAATAAACAGCTTACAGTATATATAGTATGATTTTAGGAAACATTAAATCAGCATCCACAAAATACTGTGGTTTTTTTTTTTTTTTTTTTAATGCAGTGACCAAGAATGGACTAGGCACTTTCAATTTGAAAAAAAAAAGGGGGGGGGGGTAGATATTTATGAATCTAGCACATGCACATTTGACTTTATATTCTCTGTGTTGGAAATTTTAGAGTGAAAAAGGCCTTGTATATTTTAAAATGCATTATTAGGAAAAATGAATGAGATAAGCTTTCATGAAATGTTATATGTCAACTAGAATTGCTAAAATTGATGGAATCAAGGAAGACTTGAATACATATGTCTAAAAAATACAGGACCATTTCCAGCATAATTTAAGTCAACTCTTATTTATAATGAAACAAGAAAACACATTTTTTCTTAATTTACTTAGTTAATATTCTACCTCATACCAAAAAAAGTTTTCAGCAATCTAAATTTTACAGTTGAATATATTAACAGATTATCATTTTAGGAAATAGACACAAACATGTTTAAACATTTCTTGTTAATATGATCATCCAAAAAATCTGATTGTCTTATTGACCTCTCAGTCAAACCTTATTACAATTTAAAAATCCTTTGACATTCGATTTGATTTTGAGCATGACTGTAATTTCTTTAGCATGCTCAAATAACAAAATCAAGCACTAATATACCTTCTGTAATAAGCAGTGCCATCACATATAAGGATGTGAATTTTAGAGATTCCTAGATAAATTGCTATAAAACAGCATTTTCCAAAATAAGCTTTTGAGACTATTTTATATTATTATGAATATATTAATAGATAATGAATCAGAGAGAAAAGGTGAGCTTTCTTTTGTCAAATGATTGTTCTTCATTGTGGAATTTCCAGGGCCTTTTATATGCAAATTTGTACTGTGAATCTGAGAGAAAAAGAGAGATTGAACAAAACCCTGCCTCTTTTTCATTTTCATTTGTTTCCTTGAATAGCATACAGCAAAGCACATCAGAGTTGAAAGAAAACAGAAATTTTGTAGTCCATTCCCCAACCAGGGAAGAGCTCTTCTGTTTGCTTCGATTCCTCTAAATTGTTTTTCATTCTAAGAAAAAAAAAAAATATATTTGTTTGAAATCTATATATGTCATTGAAAAGATTATTTCTGGGTTATTTTTTTAAAGCAAGAACCAGCAAAGAAATACTAACTTGCTGGTGAAGAATCTCCTGTGCTAGATCTTTATCAATAAGAGACTTTCCTCTCTAGGGGTAATATTGTTAGCAGAGTCTTTTCTTTATGGCAGTAATGCACTGCCGTGGAGTCGGATCCAACTCCTAGCGACCCCTCCTTAGGTTTCCGAGGCGGTATCACCACAGAAGTAGATTGCCTAACTTAGGTTGATAAAAATGGAGAAGAGGAATAGAAGACTTTATAGGGGCCAAATAATTTTAGGGTGAGTTCTATCTGTTCACTGTTTATCCAGAGGATTAGTTTCCAAGGAAAACTTCCCTCAGTAGATGAAGATGTATTTATCCAAGTTTGACTATATCGCCTGAAATATTCCCTTGAGAGTGCATTGGTTAATGCTCTAACCAAGAACTTTGCCGTTTAAGGACCAGCTATAAATGATTGGCTCTGGAGATGAGATGTGTTTGAGATTGTAATTTAATTGGTTATTTGTATCAATGGTATCACTATGCGTCTTTGTTTGCTTATACAGCAAATATAGATTGTTATTCCCCTTAGATCTCCCAGTGGTCTATTAAATGTAAATGATGTTACATAAACTTAATTCCACACAAGTATGCTTTAATACAGGGGTCAGAAAACTATGGCTCCAGGGCAAATCCATCCTACTTCCTGTCTTATAAATAAATATTATTGAAATACAGCCACACACATTTGTATATGCATCATCTATGGCTATTTTCATGCTACAATGACAGTTGCAACAGACATTGCATAGTCTGCAAAGCCTAAGACATCTGGCCCTTTAACAGAAAACAAAAGCTTGCCAACCCCTACTACTGTATCATATCGTTACCTGCTGTTAGGTGCCGTCAACTCAGTTCTCACTCACAGTGACCCTGTGCACAACAGAGCAAAACCCTGCCTGGTCCTGCGCCATCCTCATGGTCCTTGCTGTGCTTGAGCCCATCATTGTAGCCACTGTGTCAGTCCATCTCCCACTGTGTCAGTCCATCTCCCACTGTGTCTGTCTCATTGAGCATCTTCCTCTTCACTGACCATCCACTTTACCAAGCATGACGTTCTTCTCAAAGGACAGGTCTCTCCTGACAACATGACCAAAGTACGAGAGGCAAAGTCTCACCACCATCCTCATTTCTAAGGACCATTCTGACCTTCACTCAAGACAGATTGCTGTGTTCTTTTGACAGACTGTGGTAATATTCAGTATTCCCCAACACCATAATTCAAATGAATCAATTCTTCTTCAGTCTTCCTTATTTTTCCAGCTTTCATATGCATATGAGGCAATTGAAAATACCATGACTTGGGTCAGGCACACCTTAGTCTTCAAAGTGACATCTTTGCTCTCTAACACTTTTAAGAGGTCTTTTGCAGCAATTACTTAGTGATCAAAGATAATTTAATGCAGATTCCTTAGGAGGTTGACATCTAGAAAATTATCTAAATATTAGAAAATACATGTATAAGTATGTTTGTATAGCTCTATACCTTCACCTATGTATCTGTCTGTCTGATGTGTCAAAACTTCTTTGTGTATTGCTATTCAATTGAAGTATAAACAATTCCAAATGTGTATTTTAATAGACTGATAGACATTTGTACTTGACTACAGTTCACACTTGTAGGCACTCACCTGTTTTTGTATCAGCATAATATTTGTATTACTTATTTTCCAATTTGGCACATAAGCAATTAATCAAATAATTAGTCAAATGTGACAATTAAAAGGAACAAATTGCCTCATTTTATTCAATGGTTGATTTAAATTTGCTGGTATATTTAGATATCATATCATGTCATTCGTTTAAGACTTTAAAATTCTGAATATGTTCTTTTAACATTTTCTTACTCTTCGAAACTTCTTTTTTACTTTATCTTAATTAACCTCTTAATTAACTGATTTTCATTTAAAATTTGCTGTTAACAAAAATTATCTATTATGCAGTGAGACTTTTGTAAGGCAGAGAGAGTAATAATTAAAAATTAAAACATTGTAGAATGGTCAGGAAAGAATACTGTAACTTTTGATTATACTGGTCCATTTTCACTCCTCTTTTCCTGTACGCGATTTTAAACTCAGGTGAGTATTAAAATACTTCTTTTTGAATAGGAACACTTTTGTCTAGATACCTTTACTGCACTTTCAAATTTATGATCTTAAGCAAGGGGCATGTATGTGTGTGTTTATGTTCCTGTCTCAACACACAGTGCTTAGGAATTTACATGGCAGTACTTTGTTATAGATACACACTTGAGCCTACTGAGCTAAGATTAAGATTATTTTTTCCAGTTCGCAGAGTTGTAGTATACAGTTGAGATTTTGTTTTTCCATTCTACATATTTATGAGAAATAAAATTTTCCAGTAAAACCTCATAAAAATCATAAATATACTTTCAAATCACTTTTTCATATGTGCTAAGAATTACTAACTGAATTTAGTTCTTGTTCTAACCAAAGCTTTTAAAGGCCCAATTAGTACCGATAATCGATGTGTTTTGAGGCAGCACGTGTTATAGAGGGCATTCACTTTGTTGTTTATTAGGCTTTACCATCTCATTTTCTCAGCCTCTTGTGCTCTTATTTTCTTAATCTATTTTCTGACTTGGCTTCAGTAATACTGGTGTCTTTACTGATAGGGTCTTTTGTCGAGGGTACTATTTCAAGTTCCTCTCTCTTTTTACGAGTTCTGGGAAATTCAAGTTTAAAAGTTCCTGGTAACTGGATCTGCATATATGCTGGGCAACCTGCTTTAATACGAGGGCTAATTTTATGATAACATTTTCCAAATGCTGTTCTAAAATTGTATTTGAAACCAATTATACTTACAACTTTATTTCCAGTAATTAGTCAAACTTAGATGAATTGAAACCAAAGGTCTTATAATAATAACTGTTGTCAAATTGATGTGCTGTCAGATAGATTCTTGAGAACATGCATGTACAAAAAATGTTTTCTACCTATTGGGGATTTATTGTCGTCTCTTGAAATTCATTTACATTTCCATTCAGTTAAAAAGTATTTTGCATATTGAATTATCATGCTTTTATTCAGCAAATTGCATATTTTATATAAATCTAGAAAAATAACATGACATTTAATCTGTGCATACTTCTTTGAGTACAAATAATGTATCAGTCTAGTATTTCTATTCTTTTATACATCCTGTAAGTAGGGCTCAGAAATAAGAACTGAACATTAATTTTATGGGTTTTTTTCTACTCGATAGGTGCTATGGATATAGAGGAGAGAAATCGCCAAATGAAAATTAACAAATACAAACAGGTAGCCGGATCAGACCCCAGACTGGAACAAGATTACCATTCAAAGGCAAGACATTTTTCTTTTTAAAAGTTGTAAAATAATCAATCACCTGAAGCCATTTGATTCTCTCAAACTGATGAATGCAGATTAGTCACACATGAACATATAATGATAATGGTCCCGTGATATTATTATTAAGTGCTGAAGTTTATAATGTGTCTATATAACAGTCCTTAAGGATAAAATTTGCCTTATAAAAAAAAACCATTATTAGATAATATAGATGATTAAGACAATGCAAGTCATAAATGATCTGAAGAACAAATCATCTGAAGAGTAAGAACAAATTTTTCATTTTATATAACCCATGAAGACCCTGGCACCCTCAAAGAGGCTTAGGGTAAACTTCCATTATTTTCTTAAGGCTTTTTTACATTTAGATTTTTTATAGTATTTTAATTGAATCTGGCTTGCAACAGATTTATAAAACAAAATACATACTCATAACATGTTAGGAGTTTAAAAAGTTTTGAACTATTTTTTTGAGGAATAAGTTGAGGTCTGAAGTCTACTAAGGCAGGAAAAAGGTATTATTTCATTGCTCTTGTCCATCTTGCCTTTCTTTTCCAAACATTTTTAGGTTCATGATCTAATTCATTGCCAAAGTTATGAAAAAAAATTTTACTCTGATGCGCCTATTTAAGCTTTAATTTTAAAATTGAGAATAGGGAAACTTAAAACATTTACATGCTCTATGATTTAGTAATTCAGTCATTGTAGTCATATAATATTTGTAATCTCTGTGTTAGAAGAATTGCAGTTTGAATTTTTACTTTTGTCTATTTTATCCTTACCTACTTTGCCTTCAGCTTCTCTCCATTACATGCCATTCTCGATAAATTCAAGATTTTTTGAAGTAAAGCAAAGCTGAGTATGTCAGGCTTGCATAAGTAGCAGGTGGCAGCAGTGTCTAGTAGCTCTTCTAATACAAACCATGGTAAGCAGAAATGCTCCCATCAGCATCTGCTCCCAAGCCACCAGTCTCTTCCCTCAATTACATGAATAATGAGAGGGTGAATATAGGATTTTTCATCACAGAATTCTGGTGGGTTGGAAATCATTCAGACCTAAAGCCAGACAGAGGTAATTTTAAGACAGACAGAAATAGCCTTGGCTTTACTCAGCAGGTTCTAGACTTCTAGAATTTTTTCTCTAAAATGAAAATATGAATAGTTTTAAAAAGGTATAGTGAAATTCGTAGATAACAGTATTTCAGGTTCATATATAACTATTTGACCTTTACTTCAGAAATAATATCATCAATGCTTTTCCACATATTTTTTTCAGTATTTCTACCTAAGCCTTAATGTATACACCTGACCTATTGTGCAACTGTTAAGTACTAATCTCTCATCTATTCAATTTAAATGATCTAAAAACTAAGGTGTGAAATCCTAAGTAAATAAAATATTTGAATTTCTGTAAAATACGTTTTTAGTATAAATTTATTTGAGTACTTATTTATCCCACTATGCTCCTGAAAGAAATGTAAATGATTTTTCAAAATACTTAGAATATTCTGAATCATTTTGTCAAAGAATAAATGAGTTATCAAGGGAAAATAAGGTCAGGACAAAACAAGGCAACACCAGAAAAAAAGTTAATGAACAAAATGCATGTGGGAGATTGTATACATCTGATATAGGTGTGCTATGCAGTTTGACCCTGAGCTTTCTAGCAGGCAGCAAAGGCAGAAAGGGAAACTTTTTTCTCAATGCTCACACAGTGAAAACAGATTAGTTCCTTACAAGCAATTCCTGACATAAATACATGACATAACATGTATTTACGTAACAGTAATACATGACATAAATTTATCATAGGGATTGACAAAAGTAATACTAGAGGGAAGTCTTGAGAACTTTTTTTGAGGAAACAACTTTTTGTTTCATGAAAAATGAATGTATGTGCTTCAAAGTTTTCTAGCAGTGACAAAAACCATTTTAGTTGGAAAAAATGTAAGTCTTGGTAAAAGACTAATACTAAGCAAATAATCTCCTACGTTTTCCCTAAGGCAATGATTTTCAAAGTGTGGTTTCCAGAACAGCGCAGCAGTATTACCCGGAAACTTAGAAATGCACTGCATCTGGCCCCCCCAGGCTGCTGAACCAAACACTCGGGGAGTGGGGCATGGCAGGCTATGGCTTATCGAGCCCACCAGGTGACTCGGGTGTAGGCCAAATTGTAAAAACCACTGCTCTAAAGTGAACTGCTTGTAAAATGTATTGCTAAGTAACAGAATGACTTGCCTTGCTCTATTAGGGCCAATGGCAGATGATGTCATCCAAAATGGTGACTTTTGAGGACAGAAGATCTGATACCTTTATGTGGTCCCTCATAGTTTCTAACCAATCAGAATAAATATTGAGTATTTATTCTGTGTTCTCTTCCTGGAATTATGTGTCCAGCTTACAAAAAGATGCAATCAAGTCATTATGGTACAAACTTTTTACAGAATGCAAAATACAACCTTATTTTGCCTCACTGAAAATTATCTTTCCTGGGTCATCTACCACCTTATTCTCACTATATTGATCTTCCTCTTTAATGTGTCAAAGGGAAAATGACAGAATTCTTCAATAAAGGGTGTGTATTTTTGTGTGTATATACATATATATATATATATATATATATGTATGTATGTATACACACACACACGTAAGTTATTAATAATGCCCATACTAACAGTTCTTTAGATTAAAAATTCCAACAGCAGCCTTCTTTTTGTGATGAGGGAAACCGATCTTGTATTTTATTATTTACTTCCTTGTTTTGATAACAGCTAACAGTCGCAGAGCCAGCTGTTGAGCGATGTGCTTTAACACACTAGATCTAATTCTTGAAAAACATCATTGAACAGATAAGGGAATTAAGATAGATTAAGTAAATCATGGAAATGATTAATTGTAGCTAATCTGGATTTTCAAGTTTGAAACAACTAAGATCAAATCCCAAACCTGAGACTTTGGGGCGTGGGCTGTACTTCAGAGCTACGTTCCTGAGCTGAAGTCCAGTGAAGCTATTGTTTTTTGCAGCTTCACTCACTTCTCAGAGTGGAATCTAATTGAAGGTTAGCCGAGTTTTTTTGTGTTTTTTTTTTTTTAACTATACATTATTACTTCCCTACATTTCTCGAACTGTCAGCAATGATAGTTGTAAATAATTCTTAGTAAACTTATTTTAATCTTCTTAGTAACTCACTTTGAAAGCATCTGTAGAACAATGCCTATTAAGTTACTTTCTTTCTAAGAATTTTTTAAGTATATAGGAGAACTGAAAGCAGAGGGTTTGTTTTTAATAGGAGCAACAAACATTTATGTGCCGTCATGATTCCAATTTAATCAGTGGTTGATTTGTAAGCATTTTCCCTTCAAATTGCACTGTCTTTATCCCACTTTAAATGTAATTTATCTTTCTACTCTTGGTAGTAATTTAAGGGTCAACTTTAATTTTTTTCCTATAAAACCAATTTTCTCTATCATTCTTTGGTTCCAAAACATCTGGTTTGTTTACTGAATTTAAAGTGCAAATCATAATTTACCCTAGGTCAGCTACTCTTCTGTGACTTATATAATGATTACTTAACACAATTAGCAATAATTGAAGGCCAAACAATATGTCTACATCTAAAAACTAATATAAATAATTTGATTATGTTTATTTAAATGCATGATGTTTATTTTATAAATTAGCCATATTTAATAGTTTAAAATGATCCCAGAAGCAGCATTAAAATACACATATTTTTTAAAAAATAGACCACATTTCAGTAGATCATGCTATAAAGTGGTTGACACAGAATTTTAAACTAAAAGCTTATTTTCATGGAGAAACAATGCCTTTTTTAAACGTAGTGATGTACCCACAAAAGATCTTATCCCTCTATAGTATTTATCATATATTATAATTTTCTGTTTTCTTATTTGTCTCCCTAGAATTAATGAGTCGTATAACTCATAAATTGCCCAGAGCTTTTCAAATATAGGCCCATAATAATCCAATTAATCCATAATCTAATAGATTGAGTAGTGTTCTGGGAGCAGCAGACAATGTCATAAAAGAAAGAAAAAGGGTTTTTCTCTATGCGTGGTGCATGCCTGACCCTCAGCATCACTCTCCTGTATATCGCCTGTCACCTTTTCTCCCAAATTTCTACTTCTTTAAGCATCCATTCTCAGATCTCAAAGGCATAGTAGCAGGAAAGCGGTCCTTTAAATTAACTTACATTAAAATATGAATAACATAACATAAAGTGTCATTTTTTTAAAGCCCCTATAATTACAAATACAACTCAAAATTGCTGGACATACAGGCAGTATCACTAAAATATTTCAGACAAAATATTTTTTGGCAAGAAGATTGCCACTGTGAACTAAAATGGTTCCATTTTATTACTTTATTCTCTTTCTCAACACTGACCAAATTTCTTTCATGCAAGCACTGAGTATTTTACATTAGCTTTGAAGACACAGGAAGTGGGGGTTTCCAAAGAGGGGAAATTAGGAATAGCCATATATGGGTTATTGATATCTTTAAGCCAGGAGTACAATAAAGCTCAAATACCCAAATGTGGCAGCAATGCATAAGTATCAGTGCAGTAAATGAGAACATGGCTTGGAGTCAAGAAGACTCCCAGCAGGACCACCTGTGTGACTCTGGGTAAGTTTAACTTTTTCTCAGTTTATCTATGAAACAGAGCTTTAATGTCTATTTCATTGGGTAGTTACCAGGTGTAAATGAGATGCCATATAGGAATGGTTTAGCATCTAGTAAGATCCCCAATAAATGTTTCAGATATTATTATTATAGTAACAATAGTAAGTGTAACCATAGGTACCAGAAGTGAATTTAAAAAAAAAAAAAAACCAGACTCACTGCCATCGAGTCAATTCCAACTCACAGCAACCCCTCCTTGGGTTTTTGAGGCGGTATCTCTGCGGAATTAAGATTACCCAATCTTCCCTCCAAAGAAGTGAATAGCAGTTTGAAAATAAATGGCAAAGAAA